TACTTCATCTAATCTACACGGCAGCCCAAGGAGGCACTACAGTTATTCTCATTTTACAGATGAGGAAACAGAGAGGTCAGGTGACTTGTCCAGAGTCATACAGCTGGGAAGGAGAGGAGCCATGGCTGGATGCTGTGTGCTTACACAAATCTGCCGTGATGAGGCAGTGAGGATGCCCAGGTGAGGGGCTCCACACCCAGAGTGGGGGCTTGGAGAAAGCTTTGAGAGAATGTGGCTCCTTAGTGGTTCCAGCTGGTTAAGGGTTAAGGTATTAACCAGGTGAAAGCTGAGAGGGCAGTGGGAGATGGTCGAGGGGAGAGAGTTCTGCTGGAGGAACCACAGGAGAGAGCTCAGTACATTGGAAGGACAAGGGGCCAAGCAGGAGAGGGGCAGAGTCCAAGGTTCTGCAGGGCTCTGAAGGCTACAGGTTTGGCCGCCTCCCGGGGCCAGAGAACAGAGGTTCTCTAGAAGTATCACGTAACCTTTCTGTTTACTCCTCCTTCCCTGGTGACACACTTCCCTGGGGCAATCCCTTCATTCTCCGGGTTGGGGGGTCCCCCTCCCTCACTGTCCTGCCCACCTGGCACTTACTCCCTGGGCTAAAATTAGCATCATAGGTTTCTGTTTACATGCCTGCCTCCCTCTAGAACATTTCCTCTTGCATCTCTATCCCTGAAATCCCCAGTCTGGCACGTGAGATGATGACACCTGCCCTGCTGACGTCATGAGGATGCCGTAAGGGGTAGAGATGCGGAAACTGTTTGAAAGCATTAGGAATGCTGTACTACTGGAAGGTGTGTGCCTGTGGGGGCTGCAGAGAAGGTTCTGGGGCAACGGGGAGTGAGTGTGGTCTCTAAAGGACTTGAGAGGGTCCTCAGGAGTCATTGCAGATTTCCCTGCCAGGATACCTCTTAACCTGGTTTCCCCCAAATGCCAGCAACTCAGCACCACCTTGACAACTCTGGCCACATTCATATACCACCTGGGCTCTTAGGTACTAAATATTTTTCTTTACATTGATATACTTTCTCCCCTAACTTTTTGTTTCAACAAATTTCAAACCTGCAGCAAAATTGAGAGAATAGCCCCCAAAATCCCTGTATGCCTCTCACCCAGATTCACCAGCTGTCAACACTTTGCCACATTTGCTGTCTCTGTTTCTCTCCGTACATACATTTAAAAAAACAACATGCAACAACAAATAACAAATGTTGGTGAGGATGTGGAGAAAATGGAATCCTTGTACCCTGTTGGTGGGAATGTAAATTGATGCAGCTACTATGGGAAACAGGATGGGGGGTTCTCAAAAAACTAAAAATAGAACTACCGTATGATCTAGCAATCCCAGTCCTGGGTATATATTCAAAGAAAATGAAAACACTAGTTTAAAAAGATACATGCATCCCCCACGTTCATAGCAGCACCATTTACAATAGCCAAGATATGGAAGCAACCTAAGTGTCCATCAACAGATGAATGGATAAAGATGTGGTGTATATATACAATGGAATATTATAACAAAAGGATGAAATTCTGCCATTTGCAACAATGTGGATGGACCTAGAGAATATTATGCTTAGTGAAATAAGTCCGAGAAAGATAAATACTCCACGTTATCACTTACATGTGGAATCTAAAAATTAAAACAAATGGATGCAAATAGCGCAACAGACTCACAGATACAGAAAACAAACTAGTGGTTACCAGTAGGGAGAGAGAAGCGGGGAGGGGCAAAATAAGGGTATGAGATTAAGAAATACAAACTACTATGTAAAAAAAAAAAGGAAAGCAACCAAGATATGTTGTAGAGCACAGGGAATGTAGCCAGTATTTTATAACAACTTTCAATAGAGTATAATCTATAAAATTGAATCACTATGTTATACACCTGAAACTTATATTGTAAATCAACTATACTTTAATTAAAACAAAAAACAAACAAAAAAACCCATGGATTTTTTTTTCTGGGTCCGTTAAACATATGTAAATAAACTTTGAATTTTATTTATTTTTCTTCCATTTTTACAGAGATATAATGGATTGAATAAGTTTAAGGTGACAATATACTGATTTGACTTACATCCATCATGGAATAATTAGCAACATAAGTTCAGTGAGCATCCATCACCTCACATAGATGCAAAATAAAAGAAAAAGAAAAAGAAAAAAAAGGTTTTTTTCCTTGTGATGGGGACCTTTCAGATTCACTCTTAACTTTCACAGATATTGTACAACTTGATTATATTTATCATGTTGTACATTACATCCCTAGTACTTATTCACCTTATAACCTGACATTTGTACCTTTTGGCCATCTTTATTCAGTTCCTCCCTCCAATACCTCTGCTAAGCACAAATCTGATCTCTTTTCCTATGAGTTTGTTTGTTTGTTTGTTGAAATATGTAATTGATCTACAACACTCTTACTTCCTGGTACACGACATAGTGGTTCGCTATTTCTATACATTACTAAATGATCACCACTAAACTTTCAATCTCAGAATCGTCTGAGATGTACAGCAAAGTTGCCAAGAGGGAACAGAGAACTCTTCTCTACCCTGCACCCGATTTCTAATTGTCTCCCTCCTTGACATCTTACCTCGCTATGGTACATTTGTTACAATGAATGAACCGGTATTGATATACCATTATTAACAAAACTCTGTGTTTTATTTGGCTTTTGTTAGTTTTTCCCTTATCTCATGGACTCCCTTTTAAACTTAAAAAATTTAAAAATAGGAAAGTGGAAGTCAATGGAAAACCATGATCACTTGCCAAACAGGATTCTAGCTGGATGCTGTTGGCTGCCGGCTGACCTAAGCCTGAGGCCTGTTTCTCTTTGTCCAAGAGGGAGATTAGTAGAGGGTAGACGTGTTAAAGACGGATTAGCACGAAGCTGAGACTCTCTCCCAGGCCAAATGGGCTGGGAAGAGGACTGCTACAGGAGCAAAGTAACTATCCCACTAGGAGTTCCAGGCTGCTCAGTGCCCAGTCTGTGTGTCACCCAAAGTCATCTTGGGCACCGCCCCTAGGGGAGCCCAGCTTTGGGAATTGCATGGCCTCACTCAGCCACACCCTCACGTGGCTGGGAACCCCAAGTTTGAGACTGCTGGGCTCCAAACGGGGGACTGCCTCCAGCCCTGGAGGACAAGGTAGAGGCGCTGGTACCCCCACTGCCTCGGGGCCGCGGAGAATGTCCTTTGTCTTCTCTACAGTAACTCCCTCACCCCCACCCCCAAACCCCGAATTCCCAAAGCCGGTAGGTGTCTGACAAGTGAACAGAGTGCATTCTGGAGAATTCCATCTCAGTACGTAGGAAGCACCAGGCCCACTTGCCTGTCGTGTCTGTGAGATGTGGCCGTGGGCGCAGCCAGTGAGCAGGAGAGAAACAGCTGCCCTGAAGCTGGGCTTTCTCCCCAGCCCTTTCCTCAGCAGAATGTCTGAACTTGTTCACGTTCATTCCTTTAAAATGTTTCAAAACTGTTTTCATGTTTTATAAGTTGGAGAAGGTGGCACTGTTTCCCGAAACCAAGTCATCACTTTCTCATACTTAGCTGTCAAATTTAGATCTGCTGGCTTCACTTCCAGGAGACCTAAGCCCACGACGGAGCAACTCGGACAGCTCGCTGGCTCTCAAGGAATTTCACTCAGTGATAAGTCCCTGTTGGCTGTGGGTCCCGACACTAACTGGAGGTGATCAAACTGGAGTGTTTGCAGAATTTCTGGATTCACTCCTCAGGACTGCCGTTCAGTTCTCAGCCAATAGATTGCAGAATTCTTTGAGTTTGTCCAAGGAGGCAAGCGGGTGGATGAAATTTCCTCCAGGTATGGGGTGCCCCTAGTGAAGGAAGCTGGTTGGGCATGGGTAATGGGTAAGTCCATTTTCACTTTTCGAAATGAAGCTCCTACAGGTAAGAGCACCACCCTTAAACCTTTTTTGCCTCCCTCCTTTCCCAGAGGTAATGACTCAGTTTGGTTTATATTCTTACAGACTATTTTCCTGGCTTTATATGTGTTTCCATAGCATTTCATTTTATATGTGTGTAAGAGGGGAGGGTCACACAATCAGGATTATACTGAATGCATCATTCTGACCTTTCTTTTTCACTCAGTAATAACGTCTTGGAAACCCATCTCCGTTTTTACATACAGACGCAGCTCACCCTTTCAGTCCCTACCTGGGATAGTATGGTTCTTTTCCATTCTATTTAGCCAGCCATTATTTGGTGGATATTTATTTCCACTGTTTCTTATGATAAGCCTTTTTTTTTTTTTTAAGCAAACCTCTACGTGCACGCCTCCTTAGGGACATGTGTGAGTGATGTTCTGTGGGGCAGCCTGTGCTCATTCCTGGTTTTCAAAGGTCTTGCGAAATTATCCTTCAGAGTATGTGTGTGTGGGGCTGTGGGGAGGGGGTCAGTTTCTCTTCTTTGGGGCTGTTTATTCCTGGTTTCTCATCTGCAGTGGCTGCAGGGTGGCAGGGAGCCAAGGGGCGGCAGAGAGAAATTCATCTCTAGGTGTTTCAGGCTTGGAGGCAGCGCGTGGGGTGGCCGGGGGTGGGTGGGTGGGGAGGCAGTGTTCTCCATGGTGGCAGTCAATGGGGGCTTTGTTCCTCGGTCCATCCCTGAGCAGAATCCAAAAGCTGGGACATGACAACATGTCAAAAAGAGCAGTGCATCGTGCCTGGACCCCTACCCTTTTCCTTGTGATGGGGACCTTCAAGTGCATAGGAGTTTTACATACACACATGTAACAGGGGTGGTGGGGGGAAGGTGGGGCAAACCCTGAAATAATTAGGTTGTAAAAAAAGAAAAGGGGCTGTGAAAGAGGCTGACCACTAACTGTGACGATGTAAAGGGAAAAGGCCAAGCTAATTTGCATCCTAGAAGTGGGAGGTACAGAGGGGACAACGGGGCTTGGGGGGAACCAGGACAAGAGGAAGGGATGTGTGTAGGATCGGGGAGGAGGAGGGGGGCAGATGGGAAAGAGGGAAGAAGGGAGGACGAGGAGAAAGAGTGAGGAGGAGGACCCGAAAGTGGCAAGGTAAGAAGAGTGAGGAGAGGGCTGGGGAGGGAGGGGGAGTCTGTGTCCTGTCTGTTTGTGATTAGCACAAACCCTGCGCGGGATGGAGTAAACAGAAACTTCCAGGCGTCCCCACACCCCCCTCTGAGGCAAAGCAGAAATCAGATGCTCCGTGATTAATCTTGGAGAGTTCAGGACACGACCACAAACGCCGTGCGGACTTGAAATTAGCTGCCTTCCCGGTCCCCTTGCCAAGATGGGAGTTGGGGGTGGGACGTGAAGGGGTGGGGGCCCCGCCTGCTGGGGGCCAGCATGGAATTCTCCCTGGCAGAGCGCAGAGTGACACTGATGGGCAATCGGCCGCGGCCAGAGCAGCACGCAGCATCCGGGGGGAACGTGGCCGGCCCGGGGGCCCCAGGCGGGCTTCCTGGAGCCCTGGCTCTGCGGCCGCCTGCACCCTGACACAGGCCTGATAAGAGCCGGCTGCTTTATCAGAGCCCGGTGGCGCGGTCCCCACGAGGAAGACCCGGGGACCAGTGTGTCCTGAGTCCCACAGCGGATGGGAGCCGACGCTTGCTTCAGCAATAGGGAGAGCCGGGCTGCCTGCAGGAGGACGGCGTGACACGGTCCTGAATGTCCAGACCCGCTGGACGGTGAGTGCCCAGCGGCTGCTCGTGCGCGGCTGGCGTGTGGCCCTGACTCTAGAGGGAGGCGAGCTGTGAGGAGGGCAGCATGTCCATTCTCACATCCAACCTGTAGCTCCCAGAGCCAGAGCAGGGAGGCTGCCCTGAGGCAGAGATGAGATCGCAGTATCTCGCTGTGTGGCCCTGGGCGAGTTCTTTCCCCTCCCTGAGCCTCCTTTTGTCCATCCCTAAAGTGGGGTAGCTGAACGAGGTGGACTTTAAGGGGCTTTTATGATGACTGCTATGTTTTGTGGGTCTGCTTTCTCCAGGCACTGTGCCAGGCATTGATGAGGCTTTAGCTCAGAGAATCTCCACCAGCCCCCAAGGGGTAGGGGTTATTATTGCTATCCTCATTGTACACTGAGCAAATGGAAGCTCAGAGAAATGAAGTGACTTGCCCAAGGTCACATAGCTGGTCGGCGGCAGAGAGGAGAATGGGATCTCGGTTTTCTGATTTTACTTTTGCTAAACTCTCCACCTCCAGGACTAGTTGGGACTTTCGTATGCCGTGTTCTCAGATTGATTACCCAAGGAAGCAGAGGTGAAGGAGAAGGGGGTGTCCGGTGAGCATTACCTGTAGGAGGGAGGCAGAGAGGTAGGACAGATGCAGCAGCAGGCCGAGCCCTCCAACTGTTTGGATGGGATGTCAGCAGCCCAGGGCCGGGGTGCACCGTGTGGGATGGGCAGGGGCTCCCGGCTTGAATGGAGAGGGCCTGTGGCCACTTGCTGTATTTGCTGCCCTGTCATAGGAGGCTCCTGGGGCGCAAGAGAAGAGGGTTAATATTAGGCAGGGGTGGAGAGAACTGGGGGTGGGGAGAGTGGCACATGCCTCTACTAGGTTTTGTTCCAACTTTATTTTGCCTTTTCAAAAATCTGTTTCGAATCATTCTGGGCCCCCACTGCTCCTCTGGACGAAACAATTGTGAAACATACAGTGCTTTCCACATGCCTCCCCTGGGGGAATCACATATTAATATCGTAGGTTATTTGCATATGCATCCCTGCAGCTGTGGTGACAGCTGCCAAGAGATAAGATGTAGCTCGTCCACTAGTGTCTCCCTGGCCCCGACAAGGAGGACACATGTCACATCCAGGGCTGGGAAATCCATGGCAGGCTTGTGGCAGGTGGGAAGTCCCTTGGGTGCCAGGTATCTGGGCAGAGCTTGAAGTCTTAGCACCCAGATGTGGCCTCTTCTTTTCTCTTCCCTTGGAAAATTCCATCCTGTTGTAGTTTTGAACTGACTCAGGCCTCCTGTTCTTTCTGGGACCGGCCCAGGTCCTCTGCCTTGGGCTTGAGTTGAGAGCTGAGTTGTGGTTTTAGCTCCAGGGAGACCAACTTGTCTCAGGAGACCCGCTTTGTGCCGGGCAAGCCAGGATGGTTGGTCACCCTGTCCAGTTCTCCCCTTGATTTTTTTTTTCTTTCTTTGTAACCTTGAGCAAGACACTCCCCTTCTCTCATCTATAAAACGAAGGGATTATTTTAGGAAATCTCTGAAATCTCTTTGCAACTCTAAAATGCCATGACTCTGGTTGGAGAGCACTTAAGCTCCAAACACGGGTGAGACACAAGCTTAAAGAATCCCCATGAATCCCCCTGCGCATCAGGGAAGGCACTGCAGGAGGCTGGAATTAAGACGGGCTGGAAGACGTGGCTGCTGGCATTGAGGACAGTCCTATGGCCCCGCAAGCTTCTGAAAGCTTCATGAATTGCTCAAACCTGGGCTGGGTCTGCAGCTTAATTTTTGCACAGAGTGATTTAACCCAGATGTGTGCTGGTTACAGAACCCTCACCTACTCATATCGGAACCTTGGCACCCCCAGGGTCCCCCAGTTCTTTCTGGGGAGCTCCAAAGGGATGTCTCACACGTGCTCGCAAACTGGTCTCTCGTCTGACTCGTCCTCTCCTGCTTCCCCTTGCCTCTGCCCCCAAGGCCACTTGGAGAAGCTTCTCTATTGCCGATACCCATCTGGTGGGGCCAAACTCCCTGCCCATAGTGTCCAAGCTGCTCTGGGTTCTGGGCAGAGATGGAGGGAGTGGCTTCCTCCCCAGCCCATGACACTCTCTGCCATGTGGTCCTGGCACGGTGGTGTGCTAGAGCCAGTTTGTACTGGCTTGCAGAAGCTGAGTGCCAGATTTTCAGGAATTTGGTGAACTCGTTGTTAAACAGAGCCATTATTAAAAATTAAACTTCATAAATTTATAATTGAATAAATTATATTAAAGACAAAGGTCGTTAAGTACTCAGAAGTCAACTTTCCATTTTTTTAAAGTACATGTTACTATTACCTGTGCTCCTGGGGTTATTCACGTCTGTTGTTTCTGTCTGGTGGAAACACCCTGGAACAGTGTGCTATTGTGAGTCTCTTTTTTAGCGACTTCAAGTTGGTAGCCTGAAGTTGGCCACGGTGGGAGTAATTACACTGTGGGAATTGGCCAGCAGTAGGCTCAGGGCTTGATTTATTGTTTTGTTGATTGTCTAGATCAACAGACTAAGTGATGTGGACAAAGAAAGGAAGGGAGAAAAATTTGATGCAGATGAAACATGAACGTGTATCTCTCTGCTTGTTGCAGTGGGAATAGCACCAAAATATCAAGGAAGTTGCTCACTTCATTGACAAACCAGGGAAGTTCCAACCTGTTCTTTGTTGGATCACTTTTGTCTTAGTCCTTAGAGACAGATATCAGTCAACATTCTGGAAAGAACTACAGTCTCTCATCCACTATAACCATAGTTGGCTTAGATACAAGAGTTGGGGGCAAAAAAATCAACAAAAATGTTCTATGTGAATCAACTGAGTATATGAAATTTACAAAAAAAGAGTATTGTGCATTTTATGTTTATTTGTAAGTTGTGTACCACACATCTTTTATGTCAATACACTTTATAGTAAACCTGAATATATATGTGTATGTCTGCATGCATGAGTGTGTAAGTGCATATATTTGTACATGCACGCATGCACACACACTTTCCCCTGGAGAAGCTGGTTGTTAAACCTTTACCAGCACACCACTGGCTCCACGGCATGTATGCTTGTGCCCAGGGTCTCAGGAATCCTGCCATGGTCCATTCTCAGCTCTTATCCAAAGGGATTCACACTCTAGGCACTGGGTCTTAGATACAATCCCTCAACTTCCTCCTCTCGCCTAAAACAAACCAACAGCCAAACCCCTCTCTCCTGCCCTGCGCACTGGAGTGGATGCAGACTGGGTGGGGCAGATGTTATCTGCACCAGTTGCATCCCAGTCCCCAGCTCAGGCAGCCCAAAGGCCCTGGGCCCTGCATTCGCAGCCCCTGCATTCACGGCTCCCCCTCTCCCATATTCCAGACTCCCCCCCACACACATTTGTGGGGTGTTTCTGGTGTCCCATCAGGGGCAGCTGCCTGTTAATTTCATCCCATTTTGGGTCCCGCTCCTGCGATCCTTGATTTTCATGTACAATTGCATGTTTCTCTAATCGAAACGGCGTCTTGGAACATGGAGGAGGACCAGCCAAGCCAAACCTATAGGAAAGTTCAGACAACTTTCTATTTTTAGAAAGCCTAGGAGCCAGGTGGGCCCTTTCCAGTCTCCCAGGCCGGCAAGCACGAGAGGAAAGTATTTCTCATTCCGCAGTTCCGCCTTCTTACAGTCCCGGCCAAGGAGGAGGCCCAGGTGGGGACACTGGCTGCCTAGGAGAAGTGAGGCTGGGGTGGCAGGAAGCGAACCCTATCCACAGCAATTTTAAAACGAACTAAACAGGGTTTTTTAAATATATTTTTTTCTCTTTTCTTTTGCAAGGTAGGAAGGGCAGCTCTGAGTTTAAATTTCAGTGGGTCCTACTGCAGGTAACCTATTCTTCTAGACTGTTCATTCAGTCATATACATCATTTTAATTTTCAAGAATGAGGTCATTCTTATATTCTATTCCTCATCTTCCTTTTTTCACTTGATCATATACCCGGGTGTCTTTCCATGTTAGCACGGGATGCCCCTGGCCATTTCTTTCAATGCCTGCACAACAGAAGTCCCAGGAGGTTGTGAGAAGGGATCCATTTCGATAACCACATCTCTACTTTCTCACCAGGTCTCAAACTTTCTTGACTGCAAAACACATGAGTAAAGGGGGAAGGGTATAGCTCAAGTGGTAGAGCACATGCTTAGCATGCACAAGGTCCTGGGTTCAATCCCCAGTACCTCCTCTAAAAATAAATAAACCTAATTACCTCCCTCCCCACCGCCCCCCCCCCCCCAAAACCATGAGTAGAGCCCAGCTGCTTCCACTTTTCAGTAAAAAAGACCTATTGGCTCCACCCTCAACCTGTATCTGGAAGCTGACTGCTTCACATCACCTCCACTGCCCCACCCTGGTCCAAGTGGCTGTCATCTCTCCTCACTGATGTCTCTGCTTTTCCTCCTGCCTCTCCAATGGTCTGGTCTACACCTGTAGCCAGCGGGGTCCTGTTAAAAGGAAATTGGATTCTTCTCCTCATCTGCTCTGGACTCCCTTCTCCCTGTAGTCCTGGCTCCCTCATCACCCCCTGTAAAAGGCAAAGTCCTAACCATAGCCGCAAAGCCCCACAGAATCCGGATTTCATCTCCCTTCTCTCCCCTTCGTTGCACTTGCTGTTCTCAACTGTGCTGGGTACAGTACTGCCTCAGGACCTTTGCACTTGCTTTCCCCTCTGCCTGGGACATTCTCCAAGTGGCTCACTCTCTACCACTTATCATCTAACATACTATATATAATTTTTCTTTTAAGAACTATTCTCTACTAGAATATGAGTTTCCTGAAGGCAGGATTTTTATTTTTGGGACGGGGGTCTGTTTTGTTCAGTTCTGTATCCCATGGCAGGCACTCAATTAAGACTTAGGGAAACATTTGTTTTGCTAAGTTGCCAAGGGGTGACAAGGCAGTCAGACTGAATTAGGGTCACCAGGAACCTCTAGCCACACACATTTCATTTATGAATACCACATTTTAAAAG